ATCCTCAGTATTGCAATAACAACAATAAAATCTTATTTATAACTATGTTGATCATTTAAAAAGATGAACATATTAATACATGTTAAGACATTTTCTTAGACCTGAAAGTTCATCTTTTTTCCTTGATTTTAAAATAAATTCATTTATGTTTGTGGGTCCCTTAATGTATTGTGGGTCCTCGGTACTCTGCCTTCCACGCTTTGAAGTGGATAAGCCCTGCTCAAGGATACAAGACACTTGCATAGGCCTTTTCCCAGGTGACCCTATTCTCTGCCAGTCTAAGATTCCCAGGTAAGGAGACCTGCTCTGGCCTGACCATGAGGTACTCATTCCCCAGCACCACACTCCTGATGGTAGAGTGCCTCCAGTTGCTTCTCTTCCTCCACTTTCACCTGCCTTTGTCCCCCAATTTTGAGTATTCTCCTGAGCCCCAGTGCCCTCCCATGCTGAGTTATATTTTCTGATATATGTCCCTTTTAAGATTTAGGGTTCCTTTAATCTTCATGTGCTTCTGTCTGAGAGCTGTCATTTGACCCATCTATGTCCCCTAGTTTGAAGGGTGTCGGAAGTCATATTCACGCCTTGAAAATCTGAAGACACACCTGCGGTCACACACGGGTGAGAAGCCATACATGTGTGAGCACGAGGGCTGCAGTAAAGCCTTCAGCAATGCCAGCGACCGTGCCAAGCACCAGAATCGGACCCATTCCAATGAGGTGAATGCCCCAACTAAGAGATCCTCCCCACTTGAGAAGCCACCTATTGGGGAGATTCCCCCATAGAAAAATCCATAGCACCCACTCCACAGAGGTGAGTTCCCCCACTTATGTAATTCATCCAGGATCACCTTTTTGAAACCAAAAAATTGCCACTTGCCACTAACCAGCCAGGGGCCAATTTAAAACAGACCTGGTCTAGTGGAGACCTCTGATCCCTTCAAGCCCAGAATTTATGAGGCCCCATAGCCACCTTTGTCTTTCCTAGGCTTGGGTCATTAAGGCTCTCATACTTGACTCCCACCAGCCCCCTTCATCCTTTGGATGCTGTGTCCTTGCTCCCCTACTCATTGCCACTTTCTCCCATTCCTCCTGCGTTCTTCCACTTTGATCCCTTGGCCTTCTGTCTCCACTCCCTACTCCACAGAAGCCATATGTATGTAAGCTCCCTGGCTGTACCAAACGCTACACAGACCCCAGCTCACTCCGAAAACATGTCAAGACAGTGCATGGTCCTGACGCCCATGTGACCAAGCGGCATCGAGGGGACGGGCCTTTGCCCCGGGCACCATCCCTTTCTACAGTGGAGCCCAAGAGGGAGCGGGAAGGAGACCCCATCAGGGAAGAGAGCAGACTGACTGTGCCAGAGGGTGCCATGGTGAGCTGGCATGGGCAGTGTTGCCTCTAAGCTTCCCCAGCCTGCTCTGCTGACATCTTTCTAGCCCCATCCTACTCATCCTCTTCTATGTAAGTTGCTCTTCTGTCTCTTCAGGCCAGTCTGCCCGTCTTTTGTCACAGTGTTGCTCCTTGGCCACCCCCAAAATCTTGCGATTTAGAACTGTGAATTATTTAACTGATTCAACAAACTTACTTCTCAATAGCTCTTAATATATTGTTCCTAGCTTTATTTATTTATTTATTTATTTATTTATTTATTTTTTGAGACTGGGTCTTGCTATGTAGTTTAGGCTGGCCTTGAACTCAAAGTGATCCTCCTCCCTTCAGCCTCACAAGCACTGGCATTACACGCATGCACCACTATGCCTGGCTTGTTCTAAGCCTATTACATGTAAAATGTCACATATTCCTCAAGACAATTTCATGGGAAAGGAGCTTACTCCTCATTTTCAGGTTAGGAAACTCAGGTATAAAGAAACTGCCCAGGCCAGGGATTTAGCTCAGTGGTTCCGGCGCCTGCCTCGCAAGCGCAAGGTCCCGAGTTCGATCCCTGGTACCAAAAAATAAAATAAAATAAAATAAAATAAAAAAGAAACTGCCCAAGGTCATAGGACTGAGCAAGAATTTGTGGCCTGGCAGTCTGTGTTCCAGCCTGGGCTCTTCTAAAACATCTCTCTTCTGATTTGTTCCAGTCTCTCACCTGCTCAGCCTTTTCTACACTTGTTGTGGCTTCTTTCGGCCCCAGCAGTCACTGAGACACATGCTTCAGCCATTCACCAAGTTGCAGGGGCTGGGAGGAAGAACAAGGGTGCCACCCTCAGTCCTCATCTTCCCCACAGAAGCCACAGCCGAGTCCTGGGGCACAGTCTTCCTGCAGCAGTGACCACTCACCAGCTGGCAGCGCAGCCAATACAGACAGTGGCGTGGAAATGACAGGCAATGCTGGGGGCAGCACCGAGGACCTGTCCAGCTTAGATGAAGGCCCTTGCATTGCTGGCACTGGACTCTCCACTCTCCGCCGCCTTGAGAACCTCAGACTGGACCAATTGCATCAACTCCGGCCAGTAGGGCCCCGGGGTCTCAAACTGCCCAGCCTGACCCATACTGGTGAGACCCGGGTATAGGAGGAGTTGCTGGGCTGAGATCTGGAACTTCCCTGAGGTTGGGAGGAGGAAGTCACCTTCATGGCAGCCTTCAGGGCTGCCACCTTTATATAATTAGAGAAAGGTCCCCTTCCTCAAGGCACTTTTCCTCCTATCTATCAGAAAGCTGTGGCATACAAATATAGAAAGCCTATGATGTGGATGCTGTCCCCTAGAATTGTGCAAATTACAACCTGTATGACTGTTCACAGCATCCCTGAATCTCTGGTGATCTAAAAGCAGAATAGACATGAGAGAAGTAGGAGACCGAATTGAGTAGTTAGGGTTAAAGAGCCTAGGACTCCAGGCCAAGACTATTCCATGAGGGAGGAAAGATGCAGGAGGCCCCTCTGACTTCTTTGCTTTTTTTCCCTGTCACTTACAGGCACCACTGTGTCCCGCCGTCTGGGCCCCCCAGTCTCTCTTGACCGTCGCAGCAGCAGCTCGAGCAGCATCAGCTCTGCCTATACTGTCAGCCGCCGCTCCTCCCTCGCCTCTCCTTTCCCTCCTGGGTCCCCACCAGAGAATGGGGCCTCCTCCCTGCCTAGCCTCATGCCTCCCCAGCACTACCTGCTCCGGGCAAGATATGCTTCAGCCAGAGCAGGTGGTACCCCACCCACCACAGCACCCAGCCTGGATTGGATGGGGAGTCTTCCTGCACCTCCTTGGAGAACCCGAGCTGAGTATCCAGGATACAACCCCAATGCAGGAGTCATGCGGAGGGCCAGTGATCCAGCCCGGGCTGCTGACCGCCCTGCTCCTACCAGAGTCCAGAGGTTCAAGAGTCTGGGCTGTGTCCACACATCCCCTTCTGTAACAGGGGGGGGACGGAATTTTGATCCCCATCTCCCAAACTCTGTCTATTCACCACAGCCCCCCAGCATCACTGAGAATGTTGCCATGGATACTAGAGGGCTACGGGAGGAGCCAGAGGTTGGGGCTTCTGTTATGGGCAGCACCCTGAACCCCTATATGGACTTCTCATCTGCTGATACTCTGGGATATGGGGGAACTGAAGGATCAGCAGCTGAGCCTTATGGAGCTAGGGGTCCAGGGTCTCTGCCTCTTGGGCCTGGCCCACCCAACAACTACAGCCCTAGCCCCTGTCCCCAACAGGTCTCCTATCCTGGCCCTACCCCAGAAACATGGGGCGAGTTCCCTTCCCACTCTGGGCTGTACCCAGGCTCCAAGGTCACAGGTGGAGCCTATAGCCAGTGTCCTCGACTTGAACATTATGGACAAGTGCAGGTCAAGCCCGAGCAAGGGTGCCCAGTGGGGTCTGACTCAACAGGACTGGCACCCTGCCTCAATGCACACCCTAGTGAGGAACCCCCATGCCCACAGCCTCCATTCTCCCACTATCCCCAGCCTCCTCCCGCTCAATATCCCCAGTCAGGTTCCTACCCTCAGCCACCCCCTGATTATCTTCCTTCAGAACCCAGGACCAGCCTGGATTTTGATTCCCCTGCTCATTCTACAGGACAGTTCAAGGCCCAACTAGTGTGTAATTATGTTCAGTCTCAGCAGGAGCTGCTCTGGGAGGGTTCGGGCAGGAGAGAGGCCCCAGTCCAGGAACTTCCCTACCAGAATCCCAAGTTTCTGGGGAGCTCCCAGGTTAGCCCAACCCCTGCCAAAGCCCCAGTGCCCACATATGGACCTGGATTTGCACCCAGCTTGCCCAATAACAAGTCAGGGTCTTATCCTACCCCTTCACCATGCCATGAAAGTTTTGCAGTGGGAGCAAACAGGGCTTCCCATAGGGCAGTGGCACCACCCCGGCTTCTGCCTCCATTACCTACTTGCTATGGGCCCCTCAAGGCAGGAGGTGCCAACCCCAGCTGTGGCCATCCCGAGGTGGGAAGGCTGGGAGGGGGTCCTGCCTTGTACCCTCCTCCAGAAGGGCAGGTGTGTAATCCTCTGGACTCTCTTGATCTTGACAACACTCAGCTGGACTTTGTGGCAATTCTGGATGAGGCACAGGGGCTGAGTCCTCCCCCTTCCCATGATCAGGGGGATACCTCTGAACATACCCCACCTCCCTCTGGGCCCCTCAACATGGCTGTGGGTAACATGAGTGTCTTACTGGGATCCCTACCTGGGGAGACACAATTCCTCAACTCTAGTGCCTGAAGAGGGGAATCTCATCCATCAGATCTGTATTTCCTAAAGGGTTTCCATCCCTCCAGAGGAGTCAGGGAGAGGAGCCATAGCCCTCTGCATAAGATGCTCCAGGGATGAGACAGAAGGGCTGGGGCAATATTTAGTCTGTATATGTTTTGGGGAAGAACTTGATAATGACACTGTTTCCTGATAATAAAGGAAGTGCATCAGAAAGAACTGCTTCATGTGTTATCTCAGGAGAGGAATAAGAAGTGGAGGTTCAACCTCCAACTTACCTCTTCAGAGAGTTCCCCCTACCAGATCCTAACCCCTCACATCAGACCCAGGAAGATGGACAATGTAATTTGGGAGACAGGGTTTATAGGAATGTTCTTAAAACAACATCCTGCTTCCCACCCCAAAGTCATCCAACAGATCCTTAGACAGCATTTCCTCTTCTTTTCCGGAGTCAGGGGAAGAGGCTGGTGAAGTCAGTGAGCATCAGCTGGACCAGCTGCCCAGGGTAGAGTGCATGAGCTGCTGGGTCAGACGTCTCCTGCTCTGGCCGAAACAGGGTTGGTCCAAACACTATCCCCAGGTTGTGGGGGGTCATGCGGTTCTTATCTGAGTGTTCTATCACCCTGGAGGCAAAGGCCAAGGGAAGAGGAAATAAGGCAGCAGCTTGTCACTTCAATCTAACTTTAAAGAGTTCTAAAAGCTTATTCTGAGCTCCCTGTATGTCTGAAGGAACCAAGGACAAAGCCTCAAGGGGAACAGAGATGGACCAGTGCAGATACCTGCAGAAAATAATTGCTGGATTCCCTATTTCAGGGATGGCTCCTGGAGTCCTCTCTGCGTTTGATTTGGGAAGTTTTGAGTCAGATGGACATCCCCTTTCAGAAGGGGATAAGCCTAGGCTTAGCTCAGCCAACAAGTATCACCACTGTCCCAATGGGAGGCCAAAGCAGAGGGAAGGAAGAGGCAAGATTTTCCTTATTTCTCTCAGCATTCCTGGACTTGTCTTGGTTCCATCTCCCATTTGATAATGAGCTATGCAAAGGCTTTGACAGAAGTCTCCTGCCCTCTAAACTTAGATGTTTCTTTATTTCTGCCCACCTCAACAGAGTCCCAGGCACCCTCCCCAGAATGGAAAAAAGAGGTGTAGTTTTTCTTACCTGCATAGATGCTCCAGGAGGTACCGTAGGGTGTCACAATTGGGCTTTGGCATTGACTCTACTAATCCTTGTATTTGAGAAAGGCGCTCCTCTGATTTGGAGAGAGCTAGAGAGAGAATAATGGGTATGGGTTAGGGAAACTACTAGGACAGGGTGAGTAAATTCATTACTCTTTTCCCATGTCCATCGAAGATGTCATTAATCTAGCACATCTTTTTTTTTTGTTACTGGGGATCGAACTCAGAATCTTGCGCTTGCAAGGCAGGTGCTGGAACCACTGAGCTAAATCCCCAGCCCAGCCTTTTTTTTTTGGTACTGGAGGTTGTACCCGGGACCTTGTGCATGCTAAGCATGCAGTTTACTACTAAGCTACACTCCCAACCCCCAGCTTTATTTTTCACACAGCCAAATTACAGCTTCAGAATCTTTTTAACTCAGCCCTCTAAATGTTCACCAAAACAGCACAGCATGATGGTACAGGCTTGTAATCCCAGCACTCTGGGAGGCTGAGGCAGGAGGATTGAGACTTTCAAGTCAGCCTGGGCTACATAGTAGCCTATCTCAAAAAAAAAAAAAAAAAATCACAAAAAACAACACCCCCCCACCCAAGCTCGAGTTAGAATATGAGTTTTTTCATGTGATCAGGATGGAAGGGAATCTCTATTCTTCACTAGTCATGTACCCCATATCAAAGGTGTCCAACCCTTACCAAGGGCAGCACGAAAATGAGGCAGCAGCTGTGGAGGCACCACAGGCTGGGGCAGCTCTCGGAGAAAAAGCTTTAGGGCTCCAGTGACCACATGAATGTCATCCCATTCAGCACTGTCCAAATCTAATCGGCCTTCTAGAGGGAAAAGGAGGTTCAATGGGTTCAAGACTCATGAATGGGCCAGAGAAATCCAGGAGAGGTCAGAAGCTCTGGGGAAATCCAATCAAAGCAGACCACAGGCAGGCCATGAGAGTCCACAGGGGGACAAGATAGCAAAGGTGGGGATGGGACAACTTTCCCAGGAACAAGACATGGGGGAACCCATGGGATCAAGGAGGGTACAGCAAAATTTTAGGGCTACTTTCATGTAAGTACCTTGTCCTGGCTGTTCTGGGAACATATACCTCCCATCAGAGGTGACCGCTCGCTCTGCAACATGCGTAAGAGATGAGGCTCTAAGTCATGCAGTTCCAGGCAGAAATATGTTCCAGCCCCTCACCCAGAACCACCCCCAGTTCAGAGGCATGGAATTTTTTTTTGGTACTGGGAATCGAACTCAGGACTTTGTGCTTGCAAGGCAGGCAGTGGAACCAATGAGCTAAATCCCAGGCCCAAAAGGCATGGAATTCTTAGTACCACCACTCACTCACAATCCTTCTCACCTCTGTCCACCAGAAAACGAAGTTTTTGGACTACTGCCAAGTTCCCGCTCACCCGGTAAATGCCATCAACATCTAGACCTAGGAGACCAGGCAGGGAGCAGATAAAGATCCCTGTTCTAAAGTGTGTGTGCTGAGGGACAGACACTAAGGGATGGAGGGAGGGAAATGGTGGTAGGAAGACAGTGCTGGAGAGGCAGCTTGTTGAAAGGGAGGGATTCTGGAGTCTCTGGGAAAATGACCTCTTTTATCCACAGCAGCAATGCAGAGACGCACAAAGCTGGGCACTGTGTCTCCTTCCCGCTGGCACAGTGATTCCAGCTGGCAGCCGAACACTTGATCTGGGGAGGAAGAGTAAGGTGGGACAGGCTAGTGTCAGTTCATCCAGAGAAGCTCTTCCTGCACAGGTCTTTACCCCCAGTGCCATGGCCTTCCTGCTGCTTGTGCCCCACCTGAGCAAGGAGGCATCCTCCTGCCCCTCAATAATCAATGGGAGGGCCAGGGATTTAGCTCAGTGTTTCCGCCACCTGCCTTGAAAGCGGAAGGACCCGAGTTCGATCCCCAGTACCAAAAACAAAACAAACAAACAAAAAATAATCAATGGGAGTAGAAAAAGCAAGAGTCTGAGAAGACTGGTGTAGGTATGGGAAGCTCTACTCTGAGCCTCTCTAGTTTTCTTGTCTGTGAAATGGGCTGATACCCAAGTCAGAAATGTGAAAATGCTTGTAAAAACATTAAAATAGCTAGGCATGGTGGAATATGCCTGTAATCCCAGCACTTGGGAGGCTGAGTCAGGAGCACTGCTGTGAGTTCAAGGCCAGCCTGAACTACATGTGAGACCCTGTCTCAAAAAATACCATTAAAACAGGCACAGGTACAAAAGGCAGGCATAAGGCCAGAGCTGGCTCAGACCACCCACCTCGTAGCAGACCCCGCTCCTGAAGGCTTTGCAGAGGAGGTCTCTTGGCAATAAGCCGCTTTAGCTTGTTTCGAACTCGGTTCTGCTCAGTGCCTTCAGGACACCGACCTGTAGGAGGCGGGTACAGCAATTCCAAGCCCAGGAGCGGCGCCGGACCTCCCTCCGCGCCCAAAGCCAGGCCATCCCGGAGCCCGCCCCATACTGGAGCTCCGGCGGCTGCTGAACCGCAGCAGCGGCTTGAGCAGCGGCTCGGACTCCTCTTCCTCATCCTCCTCAGCGCTCAGTTCCGCCAGTTCTGCCGGTCCAGAGCCAGACAGGCGCAGCTCCAGGGGGTTCTCCCGGTCCTGCACCCAGGGAGGCAGGGTGGGCCGGGTAGGAAGTTACAAGAGAGGTCAGAAATCTGCACCCCTTGTTGGACACAAGGAAACCCTAGCTCGCTGTCAGGGTCCCACTTCCTATCTCTCACAGCCCAAGGCTGTATACCGACCGAGACAGCTCTGCTCCCAGAGACCCCGGACTCATATTGTCCCCACCCCACTTCCTCCCAAACTTTCGACCCATCTCACCCACCAGCCGCTCGATGACCGCCCGCAGCCCGCGGTGCCAGGCTCGCAGCTCGCTCTCCTGGTCCGACTGCAGCAGGAACTCGTGGCCAGGGACTGTGCGGATCTGCGGGGGTGCAAGGAAAGGCTTGGGTCAGCAGGGAGGCGCCCCAAAGGCTGGGAGGCCGAGCAAGAGACAGATGCGGGAGTCTGGGGACGCGCGGCAAGGCACTCACGTGCAGGACGTTGCGGCGACTGGACAGGTGGCGGCCGTGCGACAGGGCTGCCCCACGCAGGTCCACGCTACTTTCCGGCCGGCTACCTGCTGGCGCCTGGCCATTAGGGGAGAAACTGAGGTCGCGGAGTTGTTTCCCCCACAGCTTCCCGCTCACCCCGTGGGTTTTGAGGAGGTGGGGGGCTTGATTATTTCTTTTCCTTCTTCCGTGTAGCTCTCCCCACCTCCCCTCAGTCAGCCGCGGCCGGAAGCTCCAACTCACCCAGCCAGAGGAAGGCGCCGTCGTCCGCGGAGGCGGCTCCCGGTAGAACATCAGGCTGTTACCCGCCAACACCACCCAAGCCGGGGCCCAGTTCTTCCTGCGCGGGCGGAGCGGGGCGATCACGGTTGTGAAAAGTCATCGTAGAATTGCCCGCAGCGAGAGCTTCCGCGACACCCGGCTCTACCCTGTGGAATCCGGCAGCCCAAATCTCCTCACCTGAGCTTGCGTCCCCCTTGGGCAATTTTGGTCATGTTGAGCAGGCCCGACTTTTCCACTTCCTGGGAATGGAAGGGAGTCTTATCTGTAAACCACCCCGTGCCGCCCACCGCCTACGACAACTTTCCCTCAGGCATCTCCCAGGAGTGAGGTCCCTTAAAGCTGGGGGTGGGGGAGCTGGATAAAAAAGGATACCCAGAAAGAGGAAGATGTTTTTGAGGAGCAGGAATAGGGGGTGGGGCGGGGAGGCTCTAGGCATTCAAAGGACAGGGAGACTCACATAGGGGTCTTCCAGGAGCTGCGGCAGACCTCGGGGGCGCTGTAAGGCTGGAGGCTGGTCTGAGGGGAGGAGCTGGGAGCTGCATTGGCCTAGGCAGGGTGAACCCTGGGGGAGGGATTGAAGAAACTGGTGGAGGAACTCTCAATTTGAGGGTCCCTGGCTATAGGAGAAAGAAGGGTGCAGATATGGGTGAAAGCAGGGGTGTTATGGGTGTTGAAGGTCTTTTCATAAAAGAGAAAGTGGTAAAATCTAGCTTTTTTCTGCATGTTTTGGGGAGGTAGAAGGGGTCTCACCTGTGAGTCAAGCAGGTCCAGGGTCCCTGTGTCAGATCCCAAGCCCTTTGCCTGAGGTTGCCGGACACCGATGTCCCTATTCAGGGTCTGTGTCCCTTCCATGGAGCCAGGGTTCTAGGTTTAGGGGAAGGGGAGATAAAGCTACATGCAGATGCCACTTCAACTGCTCTCAACACCCTTTTCACAAGTAGCTGCTTCTTTTGATCTGAGAGCCCCAGAGAGAAAACACACTACCTTGGGGTTCAATGGAGAAAGGAGGAGATTGAGGGGGCCATGGGTCAGGCAGGAGGGAAGGTTTCACCTTGTCTTGAGAGCGACTGAGGCGTGGAGGCTTCCAGGACTTGCAGCCGGTCGATGAGTTTATGTAGAAGCAGCGTCCAGAGTTCGGGTCCAGGTGCTGTTCCCAGGCGTCCAGCCTCTGCAACAGGGGGCATGCAGGGTCTGAGGGAGGGGATCGGGGACAGCGGCGAAGGTCCACCAAGTTACTGTACACAGGGGGCTCTGACATGAGAGGCTGGGGTCTTGCCTGTTAGAAAGGGGGAAGAAAGAGGTGATTATTCTGCCCGTACCTCTCCCAGTCTTCTCTCCCCCACACCACCTTCTTCTCCCTCCCCCACCATTTTCTCACCACCAGCTTCTAGACAAGGTGACTCAGGTACAGGGGGACAAACCTCAGTCCCTGGGCCACTTTTGAAAAAACATTGTCTCCCTTACAGTCTTTGCTTTTCTCCTCACTTCCTGTTGCCAACTTCCCTCCTCCCCCACCCCCTCACCACCGCTCTGAGCCGCAGGAAAGGGGAACAGGGTGGGGGTTGGTTAGGGGAGCGCCCCACTCTCACATCCTGCAGGGTAGAAGACAGCTGAGTGAGAGACCCCAGTAGGGGAGTGTGAAGGAGAAGGGGCCATTTTCCAGCCACTAGAAAAAAAGAGAGAGGGGAAAGACTGAGCAAGGGCCTTAAATTAAATCCCCAGAGCGGACTTGTTGGTGTCCAACCTAGCTAGACAGGGCAAAGGAGACACCCTACCCTGAGCTTAGGATCAGAAGGAGGGAAAAGAAGCCTACCCCACTGGCTTTCTTTCAGTCCTTCTGTTGAAACAGGTTCCTTCTCTGCTCCTTCTAGCTACTTGCCTTCCCTTCTCATCTAGTTTGCCTTATGTCCCTCTTTTTCCTCTGTGCTCAGTGCCTTCAAAGACCACTTCAGCCACCTGCCACCACATTTATTCTCCTTTATAACACTTATCAGCACCAGGATCAGTAAGGGTTATCCTATTTAAATTTGTCACCCCCAGGGCAATTCCTTGGGGCAAGGATGTTGTCCTGTTTGCCATTGTGCCTGGACAGGGGCCAGCTATAGTATTTTTTGACTGACTATGCCCAGAAGAAAAGCTGTGGCTTCCCATGTTGGTATTGGCTTCTGTCAATACATCTTCTTCCAAGATAGATCTACTTGGCCTGTCCTGGAGGGGCTTCAGGGGGCTGGGCCTCAAACTGGCAACACTGACACTTCTACACATTTTAGGGGGAAGGGGAGGAGGCTGCTCAGATGTAGCTTGGTGTGCTTGAGACTGGTGCAGCTCCTTCAGGAAGCTATGAAACAGTTTTGGCTCTAGAAACAGAGAAATGGGAGGCTGACAGGTAATCAGAGGTGTGATCCTGGCTGGGTCTTCAAGAAGGTCAGAGGAAAGCTGTGGAAAATGACATGAGACTGGAAGGCTTGGAACTAGGAGGGGGAGGCAATGGAATGGGGTTATCACCACCACAGGGATGGAGGATGAAGGGTGGATCCAAAGGAGATAAGAGAAGGGGGTCAGCAGATGCTAAGAGGAAAGGGATTCTCTCAATAATTTCCCAATGCCAGGGAGACAGGAAAGTGATGGGGGAGGGCTTAGGGCTTACTCACCAGGAGTCCAGAGAGATTGGCTGGTGGTAATAATAGATGGGCTCTGGGAAGAGATAGATTCCTCTGTCATGTAGGCAGCTGGGGCAAAGATAGGTTGAGAGGTAGAGTGTGCTCCCAGGCACCTTGCCAACCACCAGTCTGAATTGGTCTTTCAGAACAGTAGGAACCTGTCACCCTCAGCCAGAGATACCTGCTGGCCATCTGCTGCAGTATAAGAAAAGACATAGAGGGCCCAGAGCTGGGATCCCTGAGAAGGGCTTCGGTGCCCTATCCCTGGACTCCTCCAGGTACTTGGCCACCAGCGACTGGATGTCATTGTGGTTGGCACTGTCACCTGTGGGAAAAAGAGGAGTTGGAGACCCTGAAAGAAATAAGACTGCCTGGCTTCAGGCAGAGGGACATGATTCTAAGAACAGTGTGTGGGGGGAAGGTGAGGACAGGAGCCCCAGGTTAAGAAGAGGGGGTAAAGCAGAGGGCCTGAATGGGAGTCTATGGAGTTTTGGGGTCTGAGAACATTTGGGTGATGTATCTGGTGAGGAATAAATAATGTGAGAAAGGATGTGGTCAGCGGGGCTATGTGGCCAGCAATGCAGGAAATCAGAAGAGATGGCCTAGCTTGGTAATTTTCCTCTAAGTACCTTGTAGGGGCCATCAGAAGATCCAGGGGCAAGAGGAGTTGCTCCTGGGTGCTGGCAGGAGACTGGAACTGGAAGCAAGAAAGAGATGAGGAGGAAGAATCAGGTACAAGGAGAAACTTGGGGAAGGACACAAGAGAAAATGACAAAAAAGTCTGTGACCTTTCATTACATTTGCACAGGCATCAATGTTTCCATTACTGATCACCTTAGACCTAAAGCTGCGTGCTTCCTGTGTAAACAAACATAGAGCCAGAGAAACAGAGAGCCAGAGAAACAGTAATAACAAATGAGAAAGAGAATAGTGGCTGGGAAAAATGCAGAGGGGTTCAGAATTTAAATATCACCCACATCCCAATCTAGAACATTGTTCTGTGAACTGAGAACCTTGATAGGATCTTCTATGCATCAGTCTCTTTGATGGAGGACCCAACTTTAGTGTATGGGTTCAATCATACACACACTCAACAAGGACTGCTTGGACACCTTGAGCAGGGAACAGTTACGCACTAGAGATGAAAGAGGGGAGTGAGCCCTTTTGTTCTTTAAGTTTAGGCTGACATTAACAGAGGACACAATAAACAATTAATTAGTTACAGTGGGTCACAGACTGTGGACAATTTTAAAAGGCCATGACAGACTTCTGGGAAGATGGCAGACTGGTGAACAGCAGAGAAACAGGCTCTCTAAGATTTGATGTCAGACGCTGGAACATAGCAATGTGAGGAAGAAAAGGAGGGAAGTGGTTTCCCAGGAACCAGCAAGAATCTGAAGCAAGAATTGAAGTCCATGGTGAGAGTGAAGAGAGAGACCTCAAGGCATTAGAAGGAGGTGGCAAGAAACAATGTCTCTCTGAGCCCTGACTCACTGCATGGGAGGAGTGGATTGAACCTGCAGAAACACAGTGACTACTGGCAACCCCAGAGGCTTCCACAGAGAAATGCACCAGTGGAATGAAGCAGTGGACACAACAGACTGCAGTAGCTGGTGAGTTATCTGGGTTCGGACATCCCCTAGGAGAGGGTGATTGGGCAGTAGCCATCTTGGAGAGAAGCCAACTGAGCTCTGAACTCAGAGCAGCTGCAGGTTGCCTCCATCTAATGGCTCCCATGTCAGGGTGAGGTGGAACCAAGTTCATGTTAGCAGGGTGTCAAGGAGCTGAGTTCAGGCCTGCAGGAGGCATACTGAGTGTTGCAGGCTGAACAAATTGGGTTCCAGCCTCACAGCCAAAAATCACCCTGAACTTCAGTAGATATATAGGTGCAGGCTTGTTGGGGTTATTCACTACCCCACCATAAATCTATGGCTGACTTGCTGGGTTAATCAACACAGATCTGGGCTCTGTCTGGGCATTCTGTCTACTGATGACAGCAGAGACATGCCCTGAGGTGGACATTTTTTTCTTTTCTTCATTTTTCTCTTTTCTTGCTTTTTTTGTTTTGTTTTCTTTTTTCATGATTGTTTATACTTATTTTATATGAATGTGAACATTGTTTCAAGTTTTCTTGTTGCTGTTCTGCTCTTGCTTTTTTTCTTCTCTTTTTTCCTCGTTTTTTTCACCAGTTTCCCAAAGTTCATGTAATCTTCTTTTGTCCTTCAGCTTACTTCTAATCTCTTCCTTATTTTTTTGTTTTGTTTTGTTTTTGAGACAAGGTCTCACTATGTTGCTCAGGCTGGCCTTGAACCCACTATGTAGCCCAGGCTGGTCTCGAACTCACTGTGATCCTCCTGCTCCACCACACCTGGCTTCTTCCTCTTCTTCTATTTCTCTATCCCCCCCCATCCTTTTAAATTTTAAGATAATGATATATCCTGCTGCTTATTTTTTTCCCTTTCCCCTCCCCTCCCTTCCAGCCCTCTGAGGTGAAACAATTTGAAAGCCACTCACCTGGACTTTCTGAAGTGGTAACAGCAAAAGTAACAGCAGATTAATAAGGCTCTAGAAAAAAAATCAAATCAGAAATAATCTCTCAGATAACTACAAAGATGGTGACCATAGTGAAAGACATGGTTAGTGATTCTAGAGCAGATACAGATTAAAAAAAATAGAGGAGCTTAGGAAAATGATGGAAACCATGAAAGCCCAATTTAGGAAAGGAATGGAATCCATGAAACAGATTCAAACAAATATCCAGATTAAAATTTCATTGAAAGTAATTATATGCAGCAGAATGAGCCAATTTGATGACAGAATATCAGATCTAGAAGACAGGACCTCAGTTAGCGATCATGAAAAGAAATATATATATATATTTTTGGTACCAGAGATCTAATTCAGGACCTTGCGCTTGCAAGGAAGGCAGTGGCACCACTGAGCTAAATCTCCGGACCTAAAAGAAATATTTCTTAGCAGGGTTTTTTTTTTTTGGTACCAGGGATCGAACTCAGGTCTTTGCACTTGCTCATCAGGCAGCAAAACCACTGAGCTAAATCCCCAGCCCAAAAGAAATATGTCTTAAAAATGTCAAGGGACCACAAAAAAACAAGAATTTGATAAACAGATGTGGCATATAGAATTCCAATTAGCAGGATCAAAAAAAAATCTACACCAAAACATATAATAATCAATATTCCAGAAATTCAACACAAGAGCAGAATATTAAAAGCTGTTAGAGAAAAGAAAAAAATCCTCGGGGCCAGGGATTTACCTCAGTGGTTCTGCCACCTGCCTTGCAAGTGCAAGGACCTGAGTTCAATCCTCGGTACCAAAAAAAAGAAAGAAACAAATTCCATTTAAACGAAAACCCATCACAATCACAGCAGACTTCTCAACATAAACCCTCAAGTCAAGAAGAGCTTGACTTTAAGCCCTAAACAATCTCCAGCCCAGACTGCTGTACCCCACAAAAGTATCTTTCAAAATTGATGGAGAAATAAGATACTTCCATGACAAAAAACAGCTGAAGAAATTTATGACCATCAAACCAGCACTCCAAAATGTCCTGAAGGACATTCTAGAAAGAGTTAACAAGGACTACAACTCCATGTACCCCCAACAGAATGAATCCTCCAGTCAAGGCAAGTAATTAAATGGGGGGGGGACCAACAACAGGAAAATAACATGACAAAGATAAGTCAACACATATCAGTTATAACCATGAATGTAAATTGTCTCAGTTTACTAATTAATGACTTGCAGACTTGCAGAATGGATCTTGACTTGCACAGGATCAAGAAGCAGCATCCAACATCTTCTGCATATAAGAAACACATTTCATTCAAAAAGAAATTCATAGACTGAAAGTCAAAGGATGGAAAGCAATACTGCATGTGACAGGAACTTGGAAAAAAGCAAAGGTTTCTATTTTATTTGCAGACAAAGTGAATTTCAAGCCAAGACTAATTAAGAGAGACAAAGTCACTACATCCTTGTAAAGGGAACAATCCAAGAGGAAGAGATAACAATCATAAATATATGTACACCAAACACCAGCACACCCAACTATATAAAACAAATATTAATGGACATGAAAAATCAAATAAGCACTAATACAGTTGTAACGGGGGACTTCAATACCACATTGTCACAAACAGATCAACTGTACAAAAAGAAATATCAGAGCTGAACCAACCTTTTGAACAAATGGCCTTAGTAGATATCTACAGTGTTGCACCCCACAACATCAGAATACTTTCTTCTCAGCTGTTCACAGGTTGTTCTCCAAAGTAGACCACATACTAGCTCATAGAACATGCTTAAGTAAATGCAAAGGAATTGAAAGTATCCCATATTATCAGACCATAGTGTAATAAAATTGGAAATCAGTGGCAAAAGAAACCAGAAAAACTTCATCAACACATGGAAATTAAATAACACCCTCCTGAACAACCAGTGGGTCACAGATAAAATTTTTGTTTGTTTGTTTGTTTTTTGTTGAGATAGAGTCTCACTTTGCAGTGCAGGCTTGTCTTGAGCTCACTATGTGCCCCAGGCTGGCCACGAACTTTTGGATTCTCCTTTCTCAGCTTCCCCAGTGCTGGGATTACAGGTGTGTGCCACCACATCCAGCTGGTCCCAGATGAAATTAAAGAAGAAATTAGACATTTTCTACAATTAAATGAAAATGCCAATACAACATAATGGAACTTATGGGATGCAGTGAAAGCAATCCTATGAGGGAAATTTATAGTGGTGAATTCCCATATCAGAAAAACAGAGCGAGCTCAAATAAACAACCTAATGTTCAACTGCAAGCTTCTAGAAAAAGAAGAGCAAGTCAAGCCCAAAACTTGTACAAGGGAGGAAATCACAAAGGTCAGGGCAGAAATTAATGCAATGGAGACTAAGAGAACAATACAAAGAATCAATGAATTAAACAAAGAGTTAGTTCTTTCAAAGATTAAATAAAATTGGGCCAGGGATTTAGCTCAGTGGTTCCTACACCTGCCTCAAAAGCGCAAGGACCCGAGTTCGATCCCTGGTACAAAAAAAAAAAAAAAAAAGAAAGATTAAATAAAATTACAAACCCTTAGCCAACCTTATCAAAAGAAGAAAGACAAGGCTGGGATTTAGTTCAGTGGCTCTGCTCCTGCTTTGCAAGCACAAGGTCCTGAGTTTGATCCCTGGTAACAAAAAAAAAAGAACGACATGACTCAATTCCATGAAATTAAGAATGAAAAGGGTGAAATCACAACAAATCCTGCAGAAATCCAGAAGATCATCGATACCTACTTCAAGAACCTACAGGCTGTGGATTTACCTCAGTGGTTTCGCTGCCTGCTGCGCAAGCTCAAGGACCTGAGTTCGATCCCCGGTACCAAAAAAAAAAAAACAGAACCTATATTCTTGGGCTGGGGATTTAGCTCAGTGGTTCCGGTGCCTGCCTCGAAAGCACAACGTCTAGAGTTCTATCCCCAGTACCAAAGGAAAAAAACCCTATATTCTTTTTTTTTTTTTTTTGGTTTTTTTCGTTTGTTTGTTTTTGGTACCAGAGATCAAACTTGGGACCTTGTGCTTGCGAGGCAGGTGGCAGCACCACTGAGCTAAATCCCCCCTGCCCAAGAACCTATATTCTTATGGAAAACACAGAAGAAATGAACAGATTCCTAGATATATATAAATTACTAAAGCTGAATCAAAAAGATATAAAAATTCTAAATAAACCAATATCAGTCAATGAAATTGAAGATGTAATTGAAAACCTACAAACAAAGAAAAGCCCAGGCCCTGATGGATTCACTGCTGAATTCTACAAAAATTTTAGAAAAGACCTAATCCCGCTACTTCTCAAACTCTTTAATGAAATTGTAAGGGAAGCAATACTTCCATATTTATTCCTGGGAGCAAGCATTACCTCGATATCAAAACCAGAGAAGGATCCAACCAAAACAAAGAGCTACAGGTCAACTGCCCTAATGAACATAGACTCAGAAATCCTCACTAAAATACTGGCAAGTAGAATGCAGCAAATCATCAAGAAAGTTACACATCATGACCAAGTAGGATTCATCTGAAGGATGCAGGGATGATTCAACATACATAAATCAGTAAATGTAATACACTATATTAACAGAGCCAAGGACAAAAACTATATGATCCTCTCAATAGATCCAGAAAAAGCATCTGACAAGATACAAGACCCATTCATGATAAAAACCCTACAGAAAATTGGTAGTCTTTATCTCAACCTGACAAAAGCCATCTATGACAAAGCAACAGCCAACATTATTCTAAATGGACAAAACTAAAAGCCTTCACTCTCAAATCAGGAACAAGACAAGGATGTTCACTGTCACCACTCCTATTCAATACAGTTCTGGAAACATTATCCAGAGACAAGAGAAAGAAATAAAAGGAATAAGGATAGGAAAGGAAGAAATTAAATTATCACTATTTGTAGATGACATGTTATCTACATAGAAGACCCCAAGAACTCCACCAAATTTTTTTTTTTTTTTTTGGTACTGGGGATTGAACTCGGGTCCTTGCGCTTCTGCAGCAGGCAGTAAAACCACTGAGCTAAATCCCCAGGCCCTGCACCAAACTCTTTTAATAACCAAATTTAGTAGTGTAGCTGGATACAAGGTCAATACTCAAAAATCAATAGCATTCCTGTATACAAATAATAAAATCACTGAGAGAAAAATTAGGAAATCACACCTTTCACAATAGGATTACCAAAAAAATACCTAGGAATCAATCTAACAAAGGAAGTAAAAGATCTTATATTGAAAACTACTGTACTCTGAAAAAGGAGATTGAAGAGGATATCAGAAAATGGAAAGATATCTCTTGTTCTTGGGTAGGAAGAACCAACAGAGTGAAATGACCCTACTTCCAAAATTGTTATACAGATTTAATGCAATCCCGATCAAAGTACCAATAGCATATTTCACAGAATTAGAGAAAACAATCCTAAAATTCATTTGGAACCAGAAGAGACCTAGAATAGCAAAAGCAATTCTGGGCAACAACAACAACGGCAAGGCAAGAGGCATCACAATCCCTGACTTGAAATCAGACTACAAAGCTACTGTGATTAAAAACAGCATGGTACTGGCAAAAACAAACAAACAAATAAAAACTGATCCAAGGATCAATGGAACAGATTACCAGATGCAGAAACAACTCCAAACATACTCAGCCTCCTTACCTGTGACAAAGGGGCCAAACACCTTCACTGGAAGAAAGATAGTCTTTTTAATACTCTCAAAAAGTCCTTAAGGGGGAGTGAGAGAGGTGCCTTCTCTGTATTCAACTCTCATAACAGCAGTCAAGCTGAAGAACCAGTTTAAACTTTCAAATGATAACAAATTACAATTAATACCTGACTGATTGTGTCTAGATATTAAAGTATATTTAAGGATTTTTTTTACACAGGTGTATATTTTGTTGAAAAGTCACTTTCCTCAACCATTTTTTGTACTGGGCCTTTAAAAAAATAAATCCATCCTATTCTAAAAAAAAAAAAAGCCTCTTTTAATAAATGGTCTTGGAAA